GGGGGGGGGGCTCGGCACCTTTTATGTCCATTTAAGAACACATTGCTGTCCATTTAAATACAGATTTTTGTGTAAATTTTACTGAAGAACTTGGATCAAAGGCACAAAAACTTCTACTTGCAGTTTCCGGGGACTCTCAAGATTTGGAAGTAGCCAAACTTTTGTAGCCATTTTTCTGGCTAATTTGACCACGGACACCAGGATACCCCCTCACCTCCTTCAGTAGCAAATGTCTCGACTTGTATTTCTAGATAGATGGCGAGTTCTTCCCTCAAAAGCAAGACAAATGAACTAGCTTTTACATTCTGCCATCACTGCGTCTGCCCAAAAAGTGACGAGCGCCCGATTCCACCGCGCCGTGACACATGCGTCGTGACACATGCCATGCGTCGTTACACACCGCACCGTGACACATGCGTCGTGACACATGCCATGCGTCGTTACACACCGCACCGTGACACATGCCTCGTGACACATGCGTCGTGACACATCCGTCGTGACACATGCACTGTGACACACATATCGTCAGACAGCTGTTCTCATGGACTAAGCCCAAAAGTTGGAATTCCTGTTGGGTTGTTTTGGGTTGGGTTTTTTTTCGTTTCCGTTCTATAATCTGTGGCAGTGGTTGCATGTGCTCAAGAAATGTAGTGTGGAAATTCCAATTGTGAATGTTGAGAAATTACAAGAAAAGAGTCAAAATGTAGTTAGGTGGGAATGAGTACGGCCATAGATAGCCAAAGATCTTGTCAGTATGTTAGTGTTTTAGCGCCTATAAATGGCCGCTGGCACTGTATGCTTCCCAAGAAGTTGAGATTGTTTCAGAATGCTCTCAGGTCTGTTGGGGTAATAGTATAGATTGTGAAGCGCATAGAGCTTGCTGTTGAGCGGGGATTTGCGCTATACAAATGCTATCTATTATTATTATTATTATTATTATGACAACTGATTGAAAAATGAAACAGTTTTGTGTCTCTCTCCTGAAACATTTTCCTTCTGGGCTCCAAACATTTGAACGGCTTGCTGACAATTTGTTGTATTCACTGAGTAGTTTTGGTGTGAAATATGTCATGTCTCTGTGGCACGCCAGGTGTGTCCTACTAGGTTTTCTGCCCCAGATGTTTTTCCTGGAAGAGAGAGAGAGAAGGTGAGGTGTGTGTGGAAGAGAGGGAGAGAGAGAAGGTGAGGTGTGTGTGGAAGAGAGAGAGAGAAGGTGAAGTGTGTGTGGAAGAGAGTGAGAGAGAGATGGTGAGGTGTGTGTGGAAGAGAGTGGGAGAAGGTGAGGTGTGTGTGGAAGAGAGGGAGAGAGAGAAGGTGAGGTGTGTGTGGAAGAGAGAGAGAGAAGGTGAAGTGTGTGTGGAAGAGAGTGAGAGAGAGATGGTGAGGTGTGTGTGGAAGAGAGTGGGAGAAGGTGAGGTGTGTGTGGAAGAGAGGGAGAGAGAGAAGGTGAGGTGTGTGTGGAAGAGAGGGAGAGAAAGATGGTGAGGTGTGTGTGGAAGAGAGGGAGAGAGAGATGGTGAGGTGTGTGTGGAAGAGAGTGAGAGAAGGTGAGGTGTGTGTGGAAGAGAGGGAGAGAGAGAAGGTGAGG